TTGCCAGTAAGCCTCAGCCAAAAGGCACTGGATTTCAAGCTATATGGACTGGCAAGTCCAACTCTGCTGACAAGCAGCTACTGGCATCCACTCCTTCTGCTGGAAAGTACTCGGAGCGCCTGTTTTGTGAGTCGCCTTCCACACCATCTCATCCATCGGTTTCTATCGCTGCGCCAGTCTTCTAGTTCTGTTACTACTGCTTCTCTGCCTCTGCCTCTGTCTGTGCCATCAGTGATGTCAAAATTCTCCTTTTCCCCTCCTTCACCACAATTGCTTTTTCATGTACATAACTGCATCAAGAGTTTCTTCAAAGCAGTTTGGCTTTTACTACTAGATACCTTAAAATTCTTTCACTCTTTACTCATTATCCAATTCCAAAAAATCACTTTCACATTTTACACATCTGGTACAGCGGCACCTCACTCTTGGTATCAAATTGTCAACTGACAGACATTCTATATACATCCTAGCAATCAGGAAAATGCAAATCACAATGGCAATGAATTACCGCCTTCTTTTATAACTGTAACAGAAAGAAAATAACAAGTGTGGGAGAGGATGTGGAGAAAAGAGATGTCTTGTACAGTGCTGGTAGGAACATAAAATGATGCAATCACTTTGGAAGATGGGTTAGAACTTCCTCAAAAAGTTAAGTACAGAACTAACAATTCCACTCTTGGGTATATACTCAAGAGAAATTAAAGCTGATGTCCTCAGAGAAGCTTGCGCAAAAATATTCACAATAGCACTGCTTATAGTGCCAAAGCTAGAAACAACTTCAAACGTTCATCAGCTGACGAATGAATAAAATGCTATACAGTTCTCTGTTATCTGAAAGTACAGCATGCCTATGAAACCTTTCATAAGCATATGAAATAACATAAAGTGAAAAATCAATTACCACTAATGCACACACAGTAAACTTCTGTGCATCACTAGATCCCAGGAATAGCCAACTAAACAACACATCAAAACTAAAATAACACTGATATAGAGTGTTTGGCGACACAGCTCACAGTGGTAATGTCCTAATGCTGAGATGTAGTCCCTGGGGGGAAAGGGTAATTACATCACAGGGCACACTGCCTCTTATACAGCTTAGCTCACTGTAAACTAAATGCTGAAAAGTGAAAATGAAAATTCTGCCTTTTCTTCATAAAATAAAATAAAAAAATATTTTGTGATATCTCTCAGTTAGAAAAAAATAGATCCTAATGTAGGTATTTCTTAAAAATGAAGTGACATACAAATCTCCATTTGTATCTCAGATTTAATTTCTGGGGGTATATTCCTAGTAGTGGAATAGTTGGGTAATATGGAGTTTTTATGTTCAACTTTTTGAGTAAACTCCAGAGTGTCTTTCTATGTAGCTGGACCATTTTACAATCCCACCAACAGTGTATGAGAAATCCCACCTCTCCACATCTTCTCCAAGATTTATTTTTTCCTGTCTTGCTAAATTTTGCCACTGCTACTGTGGTGAGATGGTATCTCACTGCGGTTTTGATTTGCATTTCTCTTACTGCCAATGATTTGAGCATTTTTTTGTGTCTGTTGGTCATGTGAAAGTCTTCCTTTGTGAAAAGTCTATGTCTTTTGCCCATTTTGTAATTGAGTTATCAGTCTTTTTCTTCTGGAGGCCCAGGAGTATTATGTAAGCATTTGTTATAAGGCCTTTGTCTGAGCTGGCATTGCCAAATGTTTGTTTCCAGTCAGTAGGTTTTCTTTTTACCCAGTTGGAAAAAAGTTTTGATGAGCACACCAGTGTTCACAGCAGTATTATTCACTATTGCAAGAACACAGAAAGAGTCCAAATACACATTGGGACACTGTAGTACATTCACACAATGGAATGCTATGCATCACTCAGGAGTAATGATTTTTTTAATTAAATTTTATTAGTTTTAAGGGAGTAATGATTTTTAAAAGCACTACATAAGAAGATTCCAAAAGGCAACACGGAATGACAAAGCAAAATATTACAATGAAATGTGCGAGGAGCTAGAGTCAGAAAATCAAAAGGGCAGAACTCGTTCAGTATTTCTTAAGCTCAAGGAACTGAAGAGCAAATTCAAACCTTGAGTTGCTATAATCAAGGATGTTTTAGGCAGAATGTTAAATGATCCAGGAGGTATCAAAAGAAGATGGAAGGAATATACTGAGTCATTCAAGGAGAGGAGCAAATGGGGGGGGAGGGGGGAGGGGTTTGTGCGGGGAGAAGGGTGCAACAATGAATGAATGGAATCCCCCCCCAAAAAAAAGAAAAAGAAAGGAATTGGCAGATACAGAAGAACTTAATGAAATAGCATTTGAGCCAGAACCTATGATTTTCAAGGAAGAAGGTCAAGCTGCTTTGAAGGAAATAGCAAAAAAATAAGGCCCCCGGAATAGATGGTATACCAATTGACATATTTCAGCTAATAGATGCTGCCCCCAACACTATGAAATGAATCCATACTTAGCACTACCTCTTCCAACATATTCTGATGGCCCACACATTACTACAGGGAACTCCCCTCAATGTTGTCCTGGCTATAATCTTTACAGAAGTAGATCACCAGGTTTCTTGTCTACAAAGTCACTGTTGTTGTTGTTGTGTACTTTCAAGTTGGAACCAACCCATAGCTGACCCTCTGACACGTTATCAGAAGAAGTTAATCACATGGGAGGAGATCACCTATCCTCCTCCTGCGGAGCAGCTATGTGTGTGTAATCACTAGGTGGTTTCAAATGGCAATTTTTTTTAGGTTAGTATAAATCACTTGCAAAAGCAAGGGATATTCCTAACCCAATATAATGCCATTACTCATATCTGAACACCACCGATCACTTTCTATGTTCTGCTCTACCTGTCTTCTGTGGGAGGTCTCTCCATGGTCACTAGGTTGAAGACGATGATGATCATCCTGGAATAGACCTTGCTCTCCTTCAGCTGTCCCGACAGATGACTGTTGCATTGAGTATAAGCTCTAAAAGACACAAAAGTACTCATTGAACTCTGTGAGCCGCAACAGAGTGGCAGGGATAATCCTGTAGTTTAGTGAGACTCATGAGATGATCTAAAAAGGGGTCAGAACAGTCTGACACATTATGGCTCAAAAGGAGACACTACACTTTTTGTCATTAATATGGATGTTAACCCAACGTATAAAATAATCTTAAGTTTCTCCATCTATAAAACAGGGATAAAAATTTTACCTATCCTCCAGGGTTATTATAAGAATTAAATGAGGTAATGTATGCAAAGTTAAACCATTCTGCCTATGGGAAATGCTCAAAATGTATAATCTGTTATTAATGATAATAGTAATTAATATTGATCATTATAAATGTTTATCATTGATGTTTGTCAGCATACTGTTGATAATTCCAGTTCCAATTCTGTCACTTACTTTCTGCTGCTTACTCACTACTAGACTTTGCTGTACCTACATTCTGACAGAGCCTGGATCCTGAATTTCACATAAAAATTATTCATGGTGGTCTGGAAAGAATTTCTTTCTCAATCTCTTACCTATCATAGAATCAGAAGCCTGTCCATAGTTCTAAATGGGGACATGAGCATTAAACATCAATTGTCTATTCAGGAGCAAAACGCCATAACACTAGTAAAGGCTTTCATGAGGTCAGAAGAGTGTTATACATCACAGAGGAGGAAAACACTGTATTCTTTGTCTCTTATTAATCTTAATATTACACTTTTAAAGCAGTTACTCCATTGCTCTGCTAATCTTGAACCAAAACCTAAGTAATACACTCTCAGCTACTTATTCCTCACTATGTTCTGTCTTAACTATTGTCTGGGAGAAATAAAATCTAAAACGTAGGGTGAAACAGAAACATATGGATGGTACTCACACTACTCCTCTCACAAGCTCCTTCAAAATGAAGATTACTTAGTAATCTTGTTCTAACAAACTACAGCCCTAACAAAGTAGAAATGATGGGATTGAGGCAACTCTGTACACATTAAGTGACCCTATCAGAGTAATGATATTGAAAGAAAATGTCATAACAGGAGCATGTGAATAAAATACAAAACTTTCCAAATACACATAAAAGTAGGAAAATAACTGCATAATGAATCTCAAGGTGTGGAATTATTAGGAACATTGTGCTTTTTCATCTAGCTCTTGTGCCACTTTGTTTCTGGAGTATCTGAAAACAAATTCCAGGCTATTCTAATAATTTTATATAACTGAAGACATTACACTCCTGGCTTAACATCCCCCTCTCACTGCCACTGAGTTGGAACCAACTCACAGCAGACCCTCCACTGGGTTTCTAAGTCTGTAAACTGCACAGAAGGGGATCACCCATCTTTCTCCCTCAAGCTACTGCTCAATTCCAAGCACCACAGGCCCAGCCTTTGGGCTAGCAGTTCGATTCCCCATTGACAATGCCACTGGAGGTCCAGCTTAACTCTAGATGCCTCCACTGTACGTGTTCTACATACACTAGTTTGACAAATGTTGGTGTGCATCTTAAATAATGTCATTGTTGTCTCTTCCTCCTACTGCATTTGGGTCTGCCTGCTCTCTACAGAAGGCTGGGTCCTGCCTGTCAGATGAAGCTCCTGAAGATGAGGCTCCTGAAGCAGTCCGGGCTCCACTTTCACCTCTCTCAGAAAAGATGAGGGTGGTTTGTGAAATATGTTCTAGAGAAACAAGAGGTGCCAAATATTTTTATATAATGATAATGTTACACCCTTAACCCAACTGTAGAGCTTAATTCTTTTTTCTTGTGTACCATCGAGTCGTATCTGACTAGCACAGGAGGAGATTGCCTATCCTTCTCCAGCGGAGCATTGGGTGGATCCGAACAGTGCACCTTCAGGATTGCAGTGCAGCTTCCTGCCACTAGGCAACCAAAGCTCTCTTGGTAGAGCTTAATTCTTAATCTCAAACCATGTACAGACCAATCACACACCATCTAACAAACTCTGTACATTTTAAGTAATTTAACCTTTGTGACTTCCTCCCACCACACCCCCCCTCTACCTGTTCTCTAGGGAAGGCTTGGTCCTGTATTTTAGAAGTAACATATTGATGACTGTCCTGAGGCAATTCTTGTTGCACTCTCTTCTCTCTCAGAAAAGATGAGGGTTTCTTAATTAATATGTTCTAAAGAAACAAGAGGGAGACAAAAAACAGTTTACATAAATGAGGATGCTAACCCCCTTAAGCACACCCTGTAAGCCTTATTCTTAATCAGCAGGCTGACAAGTTTTCTGTCTCTACTCTTTGTCACTTTCTCCTACTGCATTTGGTTCTACCTGCTCTCTCAAAACAACTTGGTCTTGGATTTTAGGTGTAACATATTGATGACTTTCCTGGGGTAATTCCTGTCTCACTTTTTCCTCTCTCAGAAAAGAGGAAGACTGCTTGAGAAACAAGTCCTAAAAAGCAAGAGAAATAAAAATATTTTTATACAAATGAAGATATTATCCCCTTAAATCAACTCTGTAAACCTTCATTCTTAAGCTCAAACCATTTACAGAACAGTTTAATAAACTCTCCACATGGTAAGTAATTGAGACTTTGTCAGTTAATCCCACTGTGTCATGGTCTGCCTGCTCTTCAGGAGAGGCTGGGCCCTGAACAACATCTTGCTGTTGTTCTTGAGTTAATTCCTGTCTCGCTTTCTCTGTTCTCAGAAAAGATGAGTGTCGTTTGAGAAACATGTTCTAAAGAAAAAACCCACAAAACAAATCATGTAATGACAGTTATATGTGAATCACAATATTGTAGTCTTCAGTTAAACCTTCAGCTAAGTGGTACTAGGAGATGATATTCTGAAACATTTTTATATAAAATGAGGATATTTCATATATCTATGGAGCTATGGTGGCTTAGTGGGTACTGCCAACTCAAAACCAATTTACCAGTTGCTCTGTGGGAAAAAGATGGGAAATCAATCATCTCCTATATAATTTACAGCTTCTGAAAACCCACTGGAAGGTCAGCTATGAATTGGTTTCAACTTGACAGTACACAACAACTACATATATCCTTAGCTCAATGCTGCAGACTACAACTTTTAATGTCAAGCCATGTACAGAATCATCTGACAAAACTCCCAAATTTTAAGTAATTGAGACTCTGCTGTATCTTCCTACAGTATTCGTATTGGGATAGTATGCTAGTGGTAGTACTGTGTGCATCAGGAAGGCACGTGAAATATATGTGAAATAATCTTGTTAAATTAGTCTAATAAATAAGGATGACAGAAGGATTGATGCATTTGAACTATGGTGTTGGAGAAGAGTACTGAATGGACTGCCAAAAGAAGAAACCGACAGGTCTTGGATAAAGTGTAGCCAGAGTGCTCCTTGGAGGCAAAGATGATGAAGTTTAGTCTCACATACTTTGGGCATGTTGCTAGGACAGACTATTCCTTGGAAAAGGATGTCATCCTTGTTAAGGTGCAGGGCCAGCGAAAGAAAGGCCCTCAATGAAATGCACTGACACAGTGACTGCAGTAAAGGGCTCGAATGGGTCAGGAAGTGTGAGGATGGCACGGGATAGGACAGTGTTCAGATCTACTGTTTACAGGGTCACTATGAGTTGTACTCAACTCAAGGGCACCTAATAACAATCCATTCTGGAAAAAAAATAAAAATGATGTCTCAACCTTCTGAGTACAGAACTGATTTCACTGTTACAGATGAAGCCCTTTCAGGTATAAAGAAGATTAGAAAGCAGAGAAGAGAGATAAGATAAACTGAGTAGGGGTTAACACTCTGCATATCCCTCTTGAAACTAGAACTCTATTCTAAATTCAAAGGCCCTGACCCTATACTTTAAGCACCAGTTGTATAGAACTGATTTCCTGCTTCTTTATCTTTTTTGTTCTTGCCTACCTGATCTCTGAGAAAGACTTGGTCACAGCATTCAGGAGGCAGGTACGGACAGTTCGGCAAAGAAGATGCTTCTTCATTGTCACTCCCATCTATCATATCATGATAGGATTCTTTGAAGCGTACTTTCTAAAAGGGAAAAAAACCCACAAACTTTGCATTGTTAAAGTAAAGATAAGATAATACCAACAATATACTAGGTTTACCTTGGCGTAATTTTTTAAAAATCCAGGATAAAATATTGGAAATAAAACAGAAAACTCTAGTTACTGTCATTCTAAAGTTTAGCTGAGGGAAATTTTTGGAAGCTGCAAACTAAATCCTAAACAATTCAGTCCCTGCTGGTTTCCTCTGCTTTTCCCGTCCTACCTTGTACCTGAAGGAGGCCTGATCTTGATCTCTGTGGAGGAAATCTTGATGAGCATCCAGAGAAGGCACACCTCTCTCCCCACTACCTATCAAAATTGATGGCAGTAGTTTCAAATTTGCTTTCTAAAGGAACAAACACAAAATATCAATTGTTCACTTAAGAATACTAGGTTCACCAATAACACTTAAGGTTTTAGTGAAAACTGCAGCTAATTAAGATCTGAATACAACTGGCCATCTTATAGAATAAACAAAAAACTGTGCTCCTTCCATTCAACTACAGTACAATCCTCTCAAGGTGGAGCTAAAGTGGCAAACTACTTATGACTTGTCACACTGTACCTATACAAAAAGGCCTGGGTAACCAGTGAAATATACATAGACTATTGGAACCTCACCTTCCAACAAAACAATGAAGAAGTATATCAAACACACACTGGAAGAAGAAATGGAAACAAAGCAGCAAATGAGGAGGGATATGGAAAGAGAATCCTTCCTAGCTGGCCAATACAGTACTTATCAGCAACAGCCATTTTGAGTCATACGAAGGCAACTTCATGGATAAAATAATAAGATAATGACAAAGAGTAGACAGCTTCAGAGTGAAGCATGGTGAGAACACGAGCTAGACCTAAGGCAGGCAGGTAAGAATTCCAGAGACTGAGATGACCCGAGAACAGAGAGGGAGCTGGTAAGTAGGACAGGGTAGAAGCACTCACAGTAATAACCCCTGAGAGTTTGGTTTGGGGACCTGGTATATAACACCTGTGGGGTGGAACTGGAGAGCCTTGGCCTTGCATTAAAGTCAGGACAGGGACCAGTTAATCAGCTCTACTTGCTGAGGAGTACACTGGCGCCACAGTGGTGACCTAAGATGTGAAACACCCGGCTTAAGTAGCACACTTTCCTGGTGACCAGAGGCAAAGTCCTACCCACTCTGCAGCTGCTGGTCTCCCGAACTGTCCTCTCCGCCTGGGAATCTTGTCCAACTCACCTTTCCCACCAAAAGGATCCCTCCCCTTGCTCCAATTTCCTGGCAGCGTATAGCATGCTCTCCCATGAGTCAATAATTAAAAAATTATAGACAATTAGAAACCATATAAAAACAGTGTCTAGCAATCTAGAATATTAAAATTTCAGAAACAAACAATGCATTAGAAAGACAAAAAAATAAAATTAAGTCAGTGGAAGACAAAGCAGCAAAACTGAAGACAAACCCTTCACACTTATTTGTTAGAGGAGTGTCCCTACTGTTGTTAGGTGTCATTGAGTCATCACAATCCACTGAACAACAGATGTGGACCCTGACTTGTCCAGTGCCATCCTCCTCACCTCTAATATACTTGAGCCCACTGTTACATCCACCTTGTCAATCCATCTCATTGAGGGTTTTCCTCACTTTCCCTAACCTTTCTTCTCTTTTCTTTTCCAAAGACTGAAACAAGATGCCTTTGGGCAGGTGAGATGACACTGCACTATCCTCGTCTCTAAGGAGCATCCTAGTTGCACTTTTTCCAAGACATATTTATTTGTTCTCTTAGCACTCAATGAGATATGCAGGACACTTCTCCAACTCCACAATTCAAAGACACTGGTTTTTCTCTCATCCTTATTCACTGTTCGAACTTTCAGATGCATAGCAAGTAACTGACCATGGGTTGGATCAGGCACACTTTATTCTTTAAACTGACATTCTTGTCCCATAGAACTTTGGGGAAGGAGCTCGAGAACAGATTTATCCAATGCAAGATGTGTCTTGATTTTCTGACTGTGTTAACTGTGGACTCAAGTAAGATGAAATAGTTGATATGTTCAATCCTTTCTCCATCTCTCAGGATGATTCCTATTGGCCTAGTGGTAGTGATATGTTTTCTTGATGTTGAGATGTAATTCATATTGAAGACTGTAGTCTTTGATCTTCTGCAGCAAGTTCAAATTATCCTAATGCATGCAAGGTTGTGTCATCTGCATTTTGAAGGTTGTTTATGAATCTTCCACAGATCTTGATGCTACAGTCTTCTTCATATAGTCCAGCTTCCCCAATGATTTGCTAGCATACAGATTGAATAGGTATGAAGCAAGGAAACAGCTTTATTTATACCTTTCTTAAGCAGCACTCTCTTTCTCTATTCAGATAATAGCTTCTTAGTCTAGGTATATGTTTTGCATGTGCACAATTAAGTGTTCTGGGATTTTCATTCTTCTCAATGTTATCCATAGTTTGTTGTAATCAACAAAGTCAAGTGCCTTTGCATGTCAAGAATGTACAAACAGACATTCTTTTGAAATGGTCTGATTTCATCTAAGATCCATCTGACATTAGCAATGGTATTTCTGGTGCCAGAGCCTCTTCTAAATCCAGCTTGACTTTGTGGCAGTTCTATGTCGATGTACGATTCTCAAGCATGATTTTACTTGCATGTGATATTAATTATATTGCTCAATAATTTCCATATTTATTGGATCACATTTTTCTGGGAGTGGGAACACATATGGATATCTTCCAGTCAGTTGGCCAGGTATGTCTTTCAGATTCCTTGGCATAGATTGGTGAGTATATTCAGGGCTGCACGTTTTGGCTCAAACACTTTAACTGGTATCCGGTCAATTCCTAAGGCTTTATTTTTTGCCAATTGCGTGCATCTGAAATATCTTCCTTTATTACCATTGCTTCTTTATCATATGTTACTTCCTGAAATGGATCCTTGTCAGGCAGTTCTTTTTGATACAGTGATTCTTCACATTACCTCTATCTTCTCTTGATGAATCATTCAAGATTTTGCCCATAACATCTTTCAGTATTGTAACTCAAGTAATTTCTTGAATTTATTTTTCACCTCTTCTGGCTTAAGAAATGCTGAATGATTTCTTTCCTCTTTATTTTCTGACTCCAGCTCGTTACACATTTCATTATTTATACTTTGCATTGTCTTCTTGGGCTGCCCTCTGGAATCTTCTGTTTATCTCTTTACATAGATATTTCTTCCCATTGTTTTGGCTTCTCGACCTGCTAGTACAATTTTCAGTCTCTTTTGACATCCATTTTGGTCTTTTCTCTCTCACTTGTCTTTGTAATTACCTCCTGCTTTCATCATAGATGATGTTCTTGATATCATGCAACACCTCAACTGGTCTTCAATCATTAGTGTCTAGGGCCTCCAATTATTCTTGGGATGATCTCTAAATTTAGGTGGGATAGACTGAAGGTTTTATTTTTGTTTTTGTGAACTTGTTAGAGGAACAGTCAGGAAAAAGGAACGAAGAAAACAAAGAAAGTCTTAGAATTATGTGTGGTACTATCAAGGAATAATTTTCTTTTCCAATTTCCATTCATTCACTGTTGCACTTTTCTCCCCTCCCCACCCTCCCCCCTAGTTCACTACCCTCTTGGAAAAGTAAATGAAAAATTCATTGTTTTACAATCCCTTCCCCCAGGTCCACTCTAGTATACGGAATTCGCTCTGGACTCCTATCATGACAAAAATACCTAATCACACATCCCTCTTAAACAGTTTTCTCCCTCAACTGTTTCAATGCAGTATACATTACTGAACCATCTTTCTCAGTATCCCCCCAACCCCGAAGTCACTCCTGTTTTACAACAGTGGCATCATGCAATATTTGTTCTTTTGTGACTGAGATACTTCACTCAGCT